TCTAATCCTTTTACATGCATGGTCTCATTTACTCCTGCCAGCAACCCTACAAAGCAGACACGCTTTTACAGATGATGAGCATACACTTCTCAAACCTCAGTGTGAGTCAGAATCACCTGCAGGTCCTCTTAAACACGGATTGCTGGGCCCGCCCCACCGTTTCTGATCAAGTAGGTCTTGGTTGGGGCCTGATAATTTCATTTCTAGCAAGTTCCCAGGTGGTGCTGGTGCTGCTGGTCTGGGGACCACACTTTGAGACCCACTGGCTTAGAAATGTTAGGCAATTTATTGAGGGTCACAGAGCTAGTAAGTGGAAATGCTAGTTCTCAAATCAGGCATGTGGGAGTATAAAGTCCTTGCTTTTAATTACCTGACTTTATTGCCTTTCCCAAGAGTTCGGTCTGGTGCCGCCTGATAAAGGGTAATATAAGTTTGCTGTATTGACAGTGTGAATGGCTCTCGGTCCTGCCTGTCATCCTTCTTCCCAGTAAGGCAACTGGTTCTCCTAAAAGGAAGAATGGCTGGCTTCTTGCTCTCCCTCTGACAGTGGGAACAGTTATATTGAAACCACAGCCCCAAGGCCAGGGAGTTGGAGGGGTTCCCCTGGCTGGGCCCATTCTGCAGTTTGACCGTGACCTCAGCCACCACAGCTCTGGTCTTAGAACCCTCCCTCACCTGCCTGCTCTCTGTGTGTGTCTGCTTACTGGGGGGTAATAACAGTACTGGAGGATTTAAAAAGTCATAGAAATGGCAAAGATCAAGGACTGTAAAGACATTTGCACTTTTTATTTAAAGAATTTCTTTTTGTGCTTTGTTGCAGATTAAAGGCCTACCTGAAGGTTTTGCTTATCCCAAAATAGGGTCCAATTATTCACTTAGGACCGTGGAGAAGACGTGGAAAGCTCTGCAGGACTTCAAGGAGGGCAATGCCATCTTTACCTTCCCAAATACTCCGGTGAAGTGTGCTGGAGCCCCCCAGAAGATCATGTATCTATCAGAAGCCTATTTCAGAAAGGTATGCTTCCTTTCCAGGGTTAGAGAGGAGGGGGACTGACTAATTCAGTGATTGCCAAAAATCTCTTTTTATCTCTATCATGAAACCTTTTTATTTCTAAGTTTTTATTACAAAATAATTATATAATTTGTATGTATAATTTGATGGAAGCTTATAAAATAGAAAAAAGGAGGAAGTCACTCATAATTCAATTGCTATAACAAAGCTGCTGTCACCAATCTGACATACCCTTCCAGTTTTTTTCCCTATATAATTAAAAGAAATGGCTACAAGCATACTATATGTACAAATTTAGTCGTATTATGTTATTAAATAGTCTTTGTAGCATTCTTTTTCATATGTATATAAAAGTCTACAGGGGACAGAGGTTAGAGATCATTTGAATATTTCCATACAGTTATACAGTTAGTTGCAAATTGTTCATTTTTACACATAATGCTATCAACAGTTTCCACTCAAGTTCAAAGTTATGAATATTTCCTGGCTCTTGATACACAATTTTGCAATTAATAGGCAAAACGACAATTTTAAAGGCAAAAAATTATTCACATAGAATTTAGTGGAAAGAGGTATTTGGGCAGTTTGGCGGGGGGAGGGGGCCTTCTCAGCATTCCCCAAACACCCTCTGTGTAAGAGCTGGTGGCCCGCAGCTCAAGTGTACCCAGCACGAGGTTGTGAGGGAAGCTGTTCCCTCCCTTCCTGCCTTTGTCTGAGATGTGACCTTTGGTTTACCAAAACACGGTTGGACTTGAGAAGTGGCAGGATTCCAAGCAGGATGTGACTCTGTGAAGGGACAGATGGGAGAAGGAGTGGGGAAGATGGGACTGAAGATTTGTTGACTGTGTGCTTGGAACCTGGCACTGGGCAAAGCCTTTGCCTGAATTCTGTAAACTGCAACAACCCTGTGGGGTGGGGAATTAAGGCACAATTCCAGTAATTGTTTCTGATGCTGTAGGGAAAATACAGGAAAAATGGTCAGGGCCCCTCAGATGTTCAGAATCTTACTGAGCATTTGATGTAAATATGCACGTGCGCCCAGGTGTTCCTTGGTTATTGTCTAATGTANCCATCAAGGCATACACAAGCTGAAAGTTATTGTTGACAGTATTCATGTGTTTCACCTGTAGATCATCACCTCCAGACCCCATGCTATGTCTTACCTCACATACCCCAATGACTCAACATGGTTCACTCAGTCATTTAATGGGCCTTCTTTCCTACAGAACAAGAAATTTCAAGGTACCAGCTCTCAATGAATAGGCAAAGCATACAGATGAAGATGCGTATATTATCTATCCAATTGATAAATTGTATTTTTCACAAGCAACTGAAATCATCCATCCATCTACCCATCTATCCATCCAACAAACACTGAGTTCCTCACTTTAGTGACGGTGCTACATTCCAGGAATATAAAGAATAAGACATAACCTTTATCCTCCAGGAGTGTTCCATGTAGTGGGGAGGACATGACTCCAATATAACATGTGCTATAAAGTGTCATGCACAGTGTGCTGAGGGAGTGTGCTACATTCCATGAATATAAAGAATAAGACATAACCTTTATCCTCTAGGAGTGTTCCATGTAGTTGGGAGGACATGACTCCAATATAACATGTGCTATAAAGTGTCATGCACAGTGTGCTGAGGGAGTTCTGGGAGGGGCCCATGGAGGGTCACTGAGTCAGAGGCAGGCCCTACTGTGGAGATGATTTTGGAGCTGAGTCTCCTGGACTCTAGGGCAGGACATCTTCATCAACTTGCTCCCCTTGGCTCCCCCAATGGAGCCACACACTCTGAAGTCTTGGAGTCTTCTTTCTCCAGCTGTGATTTGCTCAGCTTGCTGGCTCTGCTTCTCCATTTAGTATGGGATCGTGGTAACCACCACCTGTTTCTCCTCTCTGGGCTCCTGAGTCTCATTGCAATCATTCTCCATCTCCAGTTTTCTAGCAAGTTCTTGTGCTCTACGTCCTTCTTGCATATACTGTATAACCTTGACTTGTCTTCTTCCTGATCCTAAACCCCCGCTTCCATCACAAAATGTACGGATACTTTGTGTTCAGTGTGAATAATCACAATACCCATATATGAAGAGAGGACTTTTTCATCCCATACAGATGATTAACTAAGATTAAGTATACTGTATCACATCCTTTTCAATGACCCTCAAAGTGCAGTTTCCCAATTATGACATTGATCTAATCCATATGACAGGTCAGGTTTGCTTGGGATTCACACATTACCCCATAGATTTTAAAGAAACTTGATTGTCTTATAAGATTAGGAAGACATGCTCCACCCCTCAATATGAAAAAGTGTTAACACAAGCATGGCACAAATAATTGTGGCCTCTCTATGATCGTTCTCCATTGAGTAGAAATACAGGAGTCCCAAGCTTTAAGGGACCAGGCATGTTACACAATAATGAGGCAGTGAGGTGTGAGGCAATGGGGAACAGTGGGCATGGTGGCGAAATGGAGTGTGTGTTCCTCCTGCTGCCTGCCCACCACCCTCCGCCCCTGGACATTCACGTGACAAAACCACCCTCCAGGCCCCTGCAGACATTCTCATGACAAAATGGAAACATAGTGCTGACCACAGGCATCGGGGGCCTGAGTCAGCCCGTGGGCTGCTGCCTTTTGGGTCCTGCTCTATAATAACAATAACATCTTTTTGTTTTGCAGATCTCCTACAAATACCTTATTATTGCTCTTGGAATACAGCTGGACTATGAGAAGGTACTGTTTTAAACTGTTTCTGTTATACTGGCCTGTTTATGCCAAGTCCAAACACTGCATTTAGTTGCTTTATATTCATTTTTACAAGAAAGAGGTTCTAAGAAATTCTCTTCTAGTTTTACTTCTCAGCAGTCCTTTTATGGCTTTAAGAAAGAGTCTTCTCTAAAATTCTGTCAATGGTAACAATATATTCTAGCTTTAAGCTTTAATCAGAGTTCAGCATGTGCATAATTTAATGGTAATCCTTGCAAAACAGCAGCCTTTTCCACACTCATAAGAAACCTGCTTTTCTTTGTGGGACTGAGTTGGCTCTATTGAAGATTAAAATTTCCTTTGGAAGTAAGATTTAGATTATGAATTCTTAAGCAGACTTCTGGGGTAGAACACCAGCAATTGGTTCATCAGACTCTGGAAGGACATCTGGGTTTTATTGTGTAGAGGCTAGTTTTTTTTTGGTATAAAGTGACTGACACAATATAAATGCCACCCTAGAAGTTCCTTAGATCTCCCTTTACAGTGAGATAGGGAGTCAGATGCTATCTGATAGTTATAAGATTCAAATTTATTTTTGTAAAACATAATGGAGTAAGTCAGTTAGTACTATGATTTCCAGAAGCTTGTTGGGGACTGTGGATAAATAGTTGGAGCACATAAAACATAGTGCTAACCAGGTCACAAGCTGCAGGAATGTGATCTGGGCAAGGGCCTTATCTGAGTTGGCCAGTAAGGGTCTTTGAAGTGTGTTTCTGCATAAAAAATCTGAATCATGACATATATAGGGTAAGGGTAGTGAAAATGTCTTGGGAGGTGTGTGTGAAGATTCAGAGAAGCCATGAATCAGTGTAACTGTCATGAGATGATTTTGGGTCTTGGTGCCATGGGTTATTAGTCTCATATAATGACAGCCAAGTATGGAGTAGGCTATATGCAGGAAGGTGCCAATTGCAACTACTTTTGGGAGGTTCATGCCTCTCAAAAAAAGCCTCCACAGTGTTGACTTAGCAAAGACAGCACATCTCCATGGTATTGTCTCCCAGCAGGCCCCAGCGCTAGGTGAGACTGAAGAAGACTAGTGCTGAGGGTTCTTAACACTCTCTTGCAGCCACTAAGAAACAACAATATTCAAAAGTAGCTATTATTATGGAGTCTCTACTATGTACTGTGAATCATGCTAGGAATCTCATATTGATTCTTCACAACTACTTATGAAGGAGGTATTTTTATCTCCATTCAGATGAGGAAACCGAGGCTAAGAGAATGTAAGTAACTTAATCATGGCTACTATGCTACTTGGCATTCTTTGACTGCAGATACTAGAAAATACCCAGGTTAGTGTAAACGAAAAGAGAGGGTCATTTGATGAAAATACTGAGATGTTTCTGGAACTCTAGGGCAGGAATGTAGGTGGGCTTCTGGCAGGGCTGGATCTCTAATCTGGGTTCTGTTGGGCCTGCCCCTCTCTGTGTGCCTCTCTCTGCCTCTTTCTAACGCCAGCTTTACAGGTCCTCTGCAGCATGGCATCCTGCTCGCTGGTCCCTCCCCAGCACACAATAATCTGGGTTCTGTTGGGCCTGCCCCTCTCTGTGTGCCTCTCTCTGCCTCTTTCTAATGCCAGCTTTACAGGTCCTCTGCAGCATGGCATCCTGCTCGCTGGTCCCTCCCCAGCACACAACCTGCTACTGTGTAGCCGTAGTCTCTTTCTCTGACTCTCTCTGCTCCAGAGTTCCCAGGGAAGCAACTTTGATTGGACAAGGGGTCACAAATCACCCTGTATGACAAGGTCTTCATGACCACTTTATGGCACCTTTTCCCTTAACAGTGGCTTCTTCAGACCAAAGACAAATAATGAAGGCGACAAGAGATCAGATGTTTCTCTCTCGGGTAGTGAGTTTTGCTTTGGGAAACAGGAGGTATGGCAGTACTGCAGGAAGAGCCATAGGTAGGAGGTCAGAGGTCTCGGTATCTAGTTCTGTGAGGTGCTGGGAAGATCTCTTGACCTTGCTCTGCTTCAGTTTTCTCATCTCTTCTATGGGCTAATAATATTTTCCTGCCACGCTCAGAGGTGTATAGTGAATATCCAATGTTAGCATAGATGTGAACCTTTCAAAGCATTAAAAGAAGGTTATTTTATAATAATAATGATTATTATTATTGACTGCTAATATTACTACTACCTAAACTGTAGTAGACGTGATCACTAACAAAGTTAGTCACTCTTAACATCAAGTATGGAGAAATAATGAGCCCAGGCCACTGATGAGGAGATCTTAGCACTGTTCTCTTAAGACCTGAGGGATAGGCAGGTGTCTACAGTGACTATAAAGACTGGCCTGGGGAGGCTCTGAAGGATCAGCCCACCTTGACGACTGTGTCTTGATGGTTAAAATTGAGCCTCCTCCTACTAAGCACTGGGGCATAAGTCTCTAACTCAGTCTGTGACGTCTTCATTGCACTCTATGAATTTTAAGTACCTAGCTAATCTTATTGGCAGTAATAAACTAACATTTATGGGGCACTTACCATGTGCATCGGTCATTTTTCTAATCCTTTTACATGCATGGTCTCATTTACTCCTGCCAGCAACCCTACAAAGCAGACACACTTTTACAGATGATGAGCATACACTTCTCAAACCTCAGTGTGAGTCAGAATCACCTGCAGGTCCTCTTAAACACGGATTGCTGGGCCTGCCCCACCGTTTCTGATCCAGTAGGTCTTGGTTGGGGCCTGATAATTTCATTTCTAGCAAGTTCCCAGGTGGTGCTGGTGCTGCTGGTCTGGGGACCACACTTTGAGACCCACTGGCTTAGAAATCCTGGATGCCCTGAGAGGCCACTGCTGCTGCTACTGCTGAGGACTGAGTTTGTGTCATCTGCCAGTGGCTCCCGGGATCTTTCCCAATTACCTAGCTTGTGGACCTGCATATGAAGGGTCTGGTGACATAGCCTGGCATGTGAAGGGTCTGTGACTCAGTCTGTACAATGGGTTTCAAGGGTCTGAGCCCAGCCCTGACAATACAAATGGAAACAGTATAACTAAAATAATGAAACATTTTGGCTTTAGTTATGAATTGCTTTAACAGTACAATTGCCTAGCCAGACAATTAGTGTAGCTATTGCTGTAACCTGACAGGTGCTAAGAATGTTCATTCTGGGTCATAAGGGGTTGGCACAGCCTTTTGAGGTTCTTACTGTCCTAACTTCTTCAAATGGTGAGATCCAGGTGAGCAGGTCCTAAAGAAGCTGAACAAAGGAAAAGAGTAAGAGACCAGCTGTTTCTTCTGTCCTGGAAATTCCCTTTGCATAATACTTTTCTCCCAAGTCTTGCATGCTAGAGAAGGAATTTCTCTTTCAGGTGCCAAAAGATCGTAGGCATTTGGGAGAATTGTGGCCTCTCTGAAACAGTTGAACAATACCAAGGGGACAGGAACTTTGTTTTGTTCACTGCTGTTCCCTCAGCACCTAGAACAGTACCTGGCCAACTCTAGGACTTCCTGAAATATTTATGGATGAATGAATACGTGAATATATGAATTAACAATTTGGCTCTATTCTATCTTCACCCGGACCTGACCTTCACTTCTATCCTTCAGCTGAACAGTGCCCACCTCAACCCCCAACTTAGCCGTGCACTTGGTTGCTGTGTCATGGGCAGAAAATAAGGAGGCGGTGGATTGGTCCACACATCTTCTCCCTGGGTACAGTGATGGAGAAAGCTGGTGAAGTCTCTTCTGAGAGTTTTAATTCTTGTCTAGGTTTAAAAAAAAAAGTGGCTGGATTAATGCTTTGCTGTTGGTTATTTTTCTTCTTTCCTTTTTTTCAGACAGGGAAGCGATCCAAGGCCAATATTATTTTCAACACGTCTCTTGGAACAATTTTTGGGGTTAAGAAGTATGCAGATGCCTTGCAGAAAATTATCCAGGAGAGGAACATCACTGTTAACTACAAGCAAAACCTCATTGAAGTTCGAGCTGATAAACAAGAGGCTGTTTTTGAGAACCTGGACAAACCTGGAGAGACCCAAGTGATTTCAGTGAGTGGAGAGGTTAAGCCATCAGCCTGAAGCATCATCTGCTGAACTGTGCGGTGGGTGCAGGCGACCCCACCACTCCCCGCTCCCTGTCTGCCACCATTGTGTGCTGGGGAAGGCTGGTTAGACTGAGCATCTTAGGGCAGTGAGAGGGCGAGAAGGTGGACCGAAGTGGGTGGAGAAGAGAAAGACATAAAATGCTGTGTCAGTGGGAGGTGAGGAGAGTTTATCTACTGGTGCCAAGTGAATTTTTGTCCCATTCCTTTCTCTACTCTTCCTGGCACTAATTTATTTGAAGTAGCCAAAAATATTTCACAACTTTGGTTATTTCCTAGAACTAAAGAAGGACTTCCTCAAATGCAGAATCCATGGCATGTAAGGAACAGCTCTGCTTGTGAGCTGAAAGCAGCAGGAATAACAGGGATGTCTTTCACCTGTGGAAGAGGCTGTCTCTAAACGTCTTTCACCTGTGCATAAAAGAAAGCACTTAATTCTTTTTTTTTTTTTTTTCCTTTTTGTCTTTTTTCGTGACTGGTAACGGGATCACAACCCTCAGTGTCGCGCCCGTACCGTGACTGGCAATGGGATCGCAACCCTCGGTGTCGTGCCCGCACCGCGCTCAACCAGTGAGCGGACCGGTCTCTATGTGGGATCCGAACCCTCGGCGGGAGCGCCACCGTCTACCGAGTGAGCCACCAGGCCGGCCCAAAAGCACTTAATTCTTGAAGGCTCTGGCAGAGCTGCCACCCGTCTGGGAAAGATCTAGCCTTTGTTGTATGGGCTTGGCTTTTATGTGTCCCGGCTTCTTCTTATGAGAAGTGGGAATAGTTCTTTTGTAAAGGCATTATGAGGATTAAGAACAAGATGTAAAGGCATCTGGAGAAGCATGCATGGAAGAATTTTTGTTTACACTATTCTGGCAAGAGCTGTGAGCAATGAGAGAGAATTACACAGTCAAGTTTTATTCATTCAGCATTTTTTGAGGAAGGAAGGGTTCCGTAAAGAAGAATTTTGACGTGAACCAAATTTAGTTTTCTAAACATTAAAGCTTTAAATGTTAAGCTTTTTAGCTCAAGCTCTTTCTAAAATGTATTGCACACATCTTTCCTTAAAGTATTGAATATCATTCAAAAAATGTTACAGATAGCTCAGGGGTCATAATTTAAAAAAAACTTTTATCTGAAAACAATCTCATACTTACAGAACTTATAAAAATAAAAGTAGTATGAAGAGAATTTTATATAGCCTTTACCTAGATTCACTTATAGAATGTTATCCTATTTTTTTTAGCTTTATCTTTGATCCCTATCTGTCTGTCTATGGATAATTTCCCAAAAGTAAGTTACATACAACATACATCATGTCCCTCTACTCCTAAATACTTTAGTGTAAATTTCTTAAGATAGTATTCTATTACATAACCAAAGTATAATTATTAATTCAGTAAATTTAGCACAGTTGCAATATTTTAATCTACTATTTGTATTCCAATTTTGTTGGTTGACCCAATAGCATTTACAGTATTTTTCTCTCTCCATTACAATATACAGTCAGGTATTGCAGTTGATTGTGATGTCTTTAGTCTCTTTTAATCTGGGACATTTCCATAGTTTTTCTTTGTCTTCTATGACACTGACATTTTGGAATAATACAGTCCTCCTCCCACCACCTTTTTTTTTTTAAATACAATACTCCGCATTTTGGGTATGTCTATGTTTTCTTGTTATTAGTTTCAGTCTCTGCTTTTTAGACTGGAGCATTGCATAGGCAACGTTATATCTTTCTAGGATATCACATTTGCAAGCACAGTGGGTGGTTCATCCACCCTAAATAGATGATGCTAATTTTGATCACCAGCCAAGATACAGTCCAATTTTTCCATCGAATAACAATTCTTTTCTCCCCATGCTATAATAAGTTTGTGGAGAGACACTCTAAGACCGTGTAAACACCCTACTCATTAAAGTCTCCCCCTAGACTTAGCATCCCTTGATGATTCTTGCCTAATCTAATCTTTACTATGGTGGTTGCAAAATGACGATTTTCTCACTTTAGCATTCCCTCCGCATTTACCAGTAGGCTTTTGGCATTCCATCAGCAAGAGGCTTTTCTTCTCTCTTAATTAATTATTGGTATGAATGAACTCATGAATTCCTACTTTTCCCCAATGGCCTATCATTCATTACTGTTCTTATTTTGGTGCTCAAATTGTTCTAGATTTGGTCAGTAGGAGCCCTTCCAGCTGGTTCCTGTGTTCTGTGACATGCCACCACTGTGTTTTTGAGCACTGCTTCCTTTCTGATGTCACAGCATATCCCCGGCTTATCTAGTATCTACTGACCCAGTTCAGGGTCATCATTTTGAATAGCTATTATTTAGATATGCTCACAGGGCCTACTGGGTTGTTTAGGGCTAGTTTTCACCTTACAAAAGTGTCTCACAGTACCCTGTTCTTTGTTTTTATGTGTGTCTTTTTTGTAGTTTTCCAGTTTTCCTTTTTCCTGGCTGTCAGGCAATCGTGAGGGACTTCGGAAGGTCCTTTCAGCTTTAGCGCCTTTAAATTGCTGCTTCAAATTTTTTATTGGCTAGAAAACAAGACAGCCAAACTTGTTAAATTTTATGTTTTTATGTAAAGTAAAAGTGAATGGGCTATGAGTGGGGGCCCAAAGCATACATTTATAAGCAAAGTGTATGAGCTTGAGTGCATGAAATTAACTTTATTATTTAGACTTTCATACTTTGGTTCTTAGCTGTGCTCTGGATAGTTGAGGTTGCAGATAGGGACTTAGATAAATGAATGGTTATTGTTTTTCTGAAGAAGATATTTGTTTTGAATTATAGGACTTCAGGTCAGGTATTCTTTCAATTCCACTCTTAAAAACTGAAGTTCTGAAAATCTACCAGAAGGATTTAAAACAGTGGCTCTCAACCCTGGCTGTGCATTGGAATCACCTGGGGGAGCTTTTAAAATGTGCTGATGCCTGGGTCTTACCCAGAGATATTTTGATTAATTGGTCTGGGGTGCAGAGTGAGGATGGGGGAGTTTCAGAAATTCCCCTAATAATTCTTATGTCCCATCAGGATTGAGAACAAGTGGTGTAAAGAATTAGATGTACCCAAAAGTCTTATCTTAGATCTTTAACAGAGCGCTTGTGAAGTGATCCAAGTCTCCTAAGTTTTTAAAAATCTAAACTTGTTTAATGTCATAGAGTCCTAGAACTAGAAGGGACTTTGAAGATTATCTAGTCTAATGCATTTCTTTATGGAAAAGCAAATCGAAGACCTGAGAGGTGAAGCGATTTGTCCAAGTAATAGCATTCTATTTTCATTGTAAACAAACCTTTTCCTTCAAGCCAGAACTTCTAAGAATGTTATCCACAGGTTTCATGTGTCAGAATGACAGTGGACTTTGTTAAAGTGCAGATTCCTGTGCTTCATGAAGACTTATTAGATTGAGATCTTGGGGTGATGGAGCCCAGGAACCTGCATTTTCTACAAGCCTTCCAAATGCTACGTATAATCACTAAAGTTTGAAAACCACTACTCTGAATGGATTATGTTTAATGAAGGAGAACCAAGTTATTTATCATATATAGTTTATGGAAATAAATAATGGATAAAGAACAAGCTACAACTGAGTGCCAATGTTAATTTTTAACAAACTCATAAAGCATACCCTAGTATTTATTTTGTGTAGGATGGTTAGCTCAAGTAAAACTCCATGCCTTTATGATTATTATGTGAAAACATTTAATTTTTCTTCTAGAAAAGAATGTATAGAATTCATGTGTACTTGTGAAATTCAAGCACATTGGCTCTATCAGATAGAGATGACTGTAGTAAGGTGTAGATCTTAGTTCAGAAAAGTAGTTCAAGTTGACTGCAGAAATATGGACAGGGCCTTAATAATTTGGTAGATGATGGTTGTTGACTGTTCATCCATTATTCTGCAGACATGCATTCAGTCCCCACAACCATTAACAGACCTGTCCTCAGGGACCCATGCCCCCCAAAGCCCCCTGAGATTACCCTGTAGAGGAGCACAATTTGCAGCACTGCTTCCTTAAGATTAATTAAGCTTATAATTGTCTGAGAGTTGGAATAAACACACATCATCTTCCTAATTCCTATTGCCATCAGTGATTGCTGAGCCCTGGTGAGGACGTGGGCCTCCTTATGGAAACCAGGGGCTATTGACTATCACAAGGTTAGAATCGTCTTAAAATGCTAAAGGTTTTACCCTAATGAAATGTTATGTAAATGTTTGAATCAGTGTGTCTTCAAGTGGATCCACTAGCAAATTGAAGTTGCTAGATGGAGTTCATTAAAACTATATACAAAGAAAGAACTCCAAAAAGTGGAAGAGTAATAAACAAAAAGTTAAATAAGCCATCAAAAGTGATTAGGATGGGTCAGTGCACTATTTCCACGGGGTAAACTTGATACAAAGTGTTTTGGAAGAAGAAACCCACCCCTGCCCTCTGCACTGCTCAGTAAACCCAGTACTGAATCAGACTTTTCTTTCCTAACATTCTTGTCACTCCCTTTTTCAGCTTAAGTTGGTATGTTGACAGTTTCCTTTATGTGTTTTGAGAGCTGACCATATTTGGGAATGATGCTCACTTTCAAGCTCCTCATGTGGTCTGAAGAAACCCACCCCTGCCCTCTGCACTGCTCAGTAAACCCAGTACTGAATCAGACTTTTCTTTCCTAACATTCTTGTCACTCCCCTTTTCAGCTTAAGTTGGTATGTTGACAGTTTCCTTTTTGTGTTTTGAGAGCTGACCATATTTGGGAATGATGCTCACTTTCAAGCTCCTCATGTGGTCTTTACAAGTCTTAGGGACTCCGAGCATCTCCTTACAGGATAAAACTGAAGTGTCGGACTTTGCAAGTTGACAGCTAAGGGTCAGGGAGAGAGCAATTGAAATATACCATGTCTTTAATTTTATTAATAACAGAAACATCAGTGGATTTTTTTCAGAGTATTAGTGTTACTCCAATATCTGATTCCTCCATGCCAGTAGCCACAGGGATCACGTGGACTCTATGGGGAGACCATGTCCACTGAGAGAATGGCTATTTAGTTTATCACCATCCTTCATGGGAACACATAAGATCTTGGAGAATGTGCAGATTGGTATAAGCACTAATTGTATGAAGTTCCATGCAGCCATGGTACAGTATATGGAGTAAGGAAGGTCAGGGGAAAGCTTGTGGGGCTGTAGAAATATTGAAAAAAATGCAAATTTGGATGCTCTCCTTTTGTGTAGTATGAAATGCTTCATGTCACACCGCCAATGAGCCCACCAGATGTCCTCAAGACAAGTCCTTTGGCTGATGCCGCTGGCTGGGTGGACGTGGATAAAGAAACCCTGCAGCATAAGAAATACCCAAATGTGTTTGGGATTGGGGACTGCACCAACCTTCCTACATCAAAGACTGCAGCTGCAGTAGGTAAGATAACCAGCTGTTTCTCCTCCTCTCAAAATGATGTGACTCCAAGACACCATCATAGCAAAAACAAAAAATAGCATTCTGCTAATAATGAAGAAAATTTTGTGGCCTAACAATGACTTTGACCTCCCTCAGATAGAACGAATGAACCTAGTGTTGTATAAAGAGGAAAATATCTTTTGAGAGCTTTTCCCCAGAGCAGCATGATCTCATCCGCCTTTTCTAGGTCAGAGAGGTTCTTTTCAGGAGAAAGGCAACACTTTTCCAGCTCTCTGGAATTGAGGTACTTGTCATACTGCCATACTTGCATCTCTGGCATTCTTTGCCTCTAATGCCTGGCAGGTTGCCTGTTTTTCTTCTGCCTGAAACACCATAAAGCTAGGGAAGCATTTGTTTCTCCAGAAAACACATGCAAGTCAATGAAACTTGCAGACCAGAAAATTGTTCTTTTAAGACAAATACAGTGGAGCATGCCCTGATTGGTACAAAATTAAGGCCTCAGCTTGGGAAACTAAATTCTTCACCTTGATATTCTGCACTAGCAGGGAGTGATGGGGAAAATTGCCTTTTAGATCCTGTACTCCCCAGACAGGAACTATCTTCTCCAGAAGCTATAAAACACAGACCTCCCTGCTGATGGGTATGGTTGTGTTTTGTGTGAATCAGACACCTGTAGAAACATGTTACTTCCACTGACTATTTCAACCTTAAGAAAGACTTTCTAGGAAACCCACTGAATGTCTTTTTCATTATTCATAGTAATTTCCTCCCAACTTTTTATTTAAAAAATCTCAAACCTATGAGAAATTTGAAAGGAAGTACAATGAATACTCATATACCCTTCAGGCATTAACCAATTATTAGTATTTTGTAAAATTTTCCTCATCACTCTATTTATGTGCATTTTTCTTGCTGAGTCATTTGAAAGTCAGTTTAAGCATCATGACACTTCACCATAAATACTTCAACCTGCATCTCCTAAGGGGGAGGACATTTACCTCCATATCTACAAGACAATTATTGTGTCCAAGAAATTTAACATTGTATAATAAAATCATCTCATATACTACCCAGTTTGAATATCCCCAGTTTTCCTAAAAATGTCCCTTGTAGTACCCCACTCCCCCACCTCCTTAAATCCACTAGCCAGTCAAGGACCACTGGCTGTCATGGCTCTGTCTCTTTCTTTACCTTCTTTAATCTAGAACAGGCCTTCTGACATTTGTTGTTTTACTTTTATGACACTGGCATTTTTGAAGAGTTCAGGCTGGTAATCTTGTGGAATATCCCACAATTCAGAATTGTCTAGTTGTTTTCTTATGGTTAGATTCAGGTTATATGTTTTGGCAAGAATCTCCATACATGAGGCTGTACATCCTGGTGAGGCACCTCAGGAGCCTGTCGTGTTAATTTGTCTTATTTTTGGTGGAGCTAGATGTCATCACTGGGTTAAGGGGTGTCCACTGTTTTTTTCTCCGTTGTAAAAGCACCTTTTCTATTTGTAATTTATAGGTAGTCTGTGGGATGGTACTTTGAATTTACATTCACTTAATGTAAATCTGCTGAATTTATGTGGTGAAAATACCTGTGATGTGAGGCCCAGATTACCCAGCTTTTAGCCTACTTCAAACAAGCAAACATTTAATTCAATGTTTCAAATAGATGACATTTAATATGATTAAACATAGAGTTATAAGTAAAAAGTCTTGCTCCCTGTCCTGCCTTCCATCTGCTCAGCTTCTATATTCCCCCTAACCAGGTAGAGAGCATCCCCCTTGTTTTAACATCTGTTTTTTTTAGTCTGTGTTCCATTGTATGGTTGCTCCAGAACTTATTTGATGAGTTCACCCTTAATTTATATCTGGGTTGTTTCTAACCCATTTTTATTTCAAGCAGTACTGCAGTGAATGCTCTTCTACTTCTTCTTCTTTTTTTTTTTTTCCTAAAAAAAACCTCCTAGAGCTGGTTAATAACTTCAGTAACATTGCAGGATACAAAATAAATGCCTCAAAATCAGTTGCACTTATATACTCAAATAATGAACTACAGAAAGAGAA